ACTGAGCACTTCAGGGCTTCAAGGCTGCCCGATGGCATTGGAGACGGCTCCGTCAGGGCCCGCATCTCCAAGAGCGGCTCCAGGCGTCAGGGGTGGCTGAAGGCACGACCGGGAAACATGTCTGAGTTGGATCTCGTGGCATTGCCAGCTCCTCCTTCCACCCCAAACACCAGCCTTCTCCGAGGCACCTGGTCTCCTCTAGCAGCTTGGGGCCGCAGTGGGCAGTGCTGTAGCTGAAGCCCGGCTCAAGCACGGAGCATCCTGCCGTGATGGGGAAGGTACCTAGACACAACCCTTCAGGCTCTGTGATGAACAGCGATGGGCACAGGGAGCTGAGGGGACTGGACGAGGCCCCGGGGATGCTCGTGCAGAGAGCAGGCGTGAGCGGAGATGAGGCTCGCTGCCCTGCGTAGCGCTGCTGCTATTAAGCTGTGAAATCGCACGTGCTCGAGCACTCTTCCCCTTGCTGTCTGCTCCAGAGCCTGTCAGCGCCGTGCAGCGGGTAATTGGTTATGCGATTACAATCTCACGCAAAGGAGAGGGCCCTTTGCAGGACGCTGGCACTGCCCAGCATACAAATCACCCCCAGCGGTTACGTGAAGGGAAATGCACCCCAGAGATGGCGCAGAAACGGTCTCACGACTGCTCGGGAGCTGCCTGCAGCCAGTCCAGGAGAGAGCCTGGCATCATCCTCAGGAAGATGTTCCCCTTGCCTTTCCGCAGCTGCCCGCACGCCCGCTGTAAAGGCAGAAGTCTGCCTGTGAAAAGAGCCAGTCCAGGAGAGCTGGGGATCTGCACACCCAGCTCCTCGGGGCCAGAAAGGAAGCAGAGAAAAATGCAGAGCCCAGACTCCCGGGGGAATCGATGGAGGCAGGTGAAAGCCTGCACCTGGTGCTAAATTGTTATGTGTATTCCCGTAACGCCAATGCAATGGGCTGTGCAAACAAGCGAGAAGCACAGACGCACCCCAACGCACTTGCACACTAAATATTTTACAATTTAGGCCAGAGGTTGGCTGGCAGCCTTTTAGCAACGGCAGGCTGAAGTAGCACAGCCCCATCCAAAGGTGGGTGTCCGCTGGCAACCTCACTGCCAATTACTGTGGACTGCTCCCACCGCCGACAGCCCAGCTTCGCAGGCTGGATGCGGCCCAGCACAACACCGCAGTCCTGCTCTGGCGTGTCAGGTTCTGCTCAGCCGCTTCGCTTTTGGGGGCCACGCGTGTCTCTTCCTGCATGCATCCCACAGAAGAAAGCAGCTCCTTATGCTTCCCTGGGATGCTCCTGCCGCAACAACCGCATGGTGCAATTTTGCCGTCCTGTGTGACGGCGTCACGCTGTTGCGCGCAGCTCCCCCTCTTCCACCTGGCTGCATCTCAGTGCCGGCTGAAGCGAGCCTCACCTCTAGCTGCCCGGGGAACTCAAGCGAGCGTGTGCGCAACCTTCCGTGATCTCTGGATGAACACCGCTATGGCGTGACGCTCGTACCCAGGCGTGGGAGGATCTGCTCTGGGCATGCGCCTGAATGAGCAACCCCTGAGCTCTGCAAACAGACTGCCTAGCATGGAGACGGCTGCAGGGCACGTGCCCTGCAGTCACGTGCAGCAGAGCCAGCCCACGGGGCCTGAAGCCACCTCTCCCCCGTAGCCACCTTCTCCGGAGCGCCCAGCAGCGCTTGGGTTGATGGAGGGCCCGCTCAACTCGTAAACATCTCGATTTAAGGAGTCCTAGGAGCATAAATCGAAGTGTCTGTGTGCAAGTTTTTCTGTCCTCTTCTTCCTTCCAGGCCAGGAGGGAATTTTTTCCCCAAATTTGGTCAAACTATTTGCTGCAGACTCCATTCCTTGTGTCCCGGGGAGCAGCGTTTGCAGCCGGCATGGTCCGTGCAGCCAGGCGACATGCAAACTCGCGCCCTCCTGCTGTGCTGTGGGTCCAGGACACCCCCTGCCCCCCCGGGCTGCGTTCCCCCAAGGTGTCTTTGCAGCGGGCAGGACAGGGGGCTGGCGAGGGGCAGAGGGGAGAGAAGGGCCACCCTCCCCAACCCTCCACCCAGACTCCCCCATGAGCGTGTTCCTCTCGCTGTGGGGCTGCTGACTGCAAGCCCCCCTTTTTGCTGCCTCTGCCCGCAGAGGCTCCTTGCAGGAGCCATCCATGTCCCAAGCACATTTTACAGCTGCCGGCGTCCCTCGCAAGCGCAGGAAATTACAGCTGCGCAGCCCCGGCACGTCGGCAGCTTCTAAATTGGGCGAAGCGCCGAGTGCCAGCGAAAGGGGGTAGTCTCGGGTTACCCACCCCCCCGCCACTGGTTTCTTGTGGTCCAAAACAAAGCTCCGTTGCCCGGCAGTCGCAGCATGTGCCCACCGCAGCCTTCCTCCGCCGGGGCAACGTGGCCCCCGGGGCAGGATCGGGAAGCAAGAGCAGAGATGGCCCCGGAGCACCATGTGCAGGGAAAGGCTTTCTTCCCTTCCAGCACAGGGCTGCAGCCAGTTTACAGCAGACCCATCTGGAGTGAATTACTGCCACGGTCCAGATCTGGCCATTTGCAAGCCGCTCTGCTTTGCCGCAGCGTTTCCCCTCTGTTTTCTTACATACCCAGCGTTTTAAGGAGAAGAGGCCTCCGTGCCCCGCAAAGCAGCTCTGGGCAGTGGCGACGTGCTCCACGTAGAGCTCTATAGGTAATAAAACAGCTGAGCAAAAGGTTGGGAAGTGTGCAAGAAGCCTTGCACGGGCCAGCTGCTCCAGCATGCAGTGGGGTCGTGCCGCTGGCATGCGAGAAAGGGCGAGAGGACCGGTGTGCCCAGAACAGAGGCGTCTCCCCCAGCAGCAAGGAGCTGCATTTAACTCCCCAGAGCCTGCCCCCCAAATGCTACCGAACCTCACAGGACTAGTGCCCCTGCTACCCGCACCTGGGGCACCTGTCCTGGGCAAGACACAGCTTCCAGCCAGGACTCCAGGGGGTAAATTCATTTCTCCAACAGCTCTCCCTGGCACAGCAGCTTTCTGCCTCCCTCTGGGCCCTGCGCAGATGCAACCACGATGTTTCCAAAGCCCGGGAGCCCCTGCCCTGCAGCCTGATGCCCACTTCCAGCATTGCATCCTCATTCAGCAGCAACCAAGAAGCTCAGGTGAGCTTACGGGGCTGTAGGCAAAGCCACCCGGGAAGCGTGCATGGAGCGGATGACAGCGGCACGCCGCAGGACAGGATTTTAACTAGCCGCGACCCAGCCAGCCGGCACAGCGGGCAGAGGGGCTGACCTCCTAGGCGTGGCAAACACCTTGTGTGCGCACAGATAAGCACCTGGTGCAACCGTGTACGAGATTAAAAGAGTTTCCAAGACCGTCTGTGCACTCGAGTAGCAGCTCGGAGGTGTTGCTGCAACACGGTGAGTGATGGGAGCCCAGAGTCCTGCTGTGCCCCCCACCAAGACAAACCCAAAACGAGCTCTGGGTAAAGAGATTGTCCCAGGCTGCCCGAGCCCGACTGAGCACTCCCTCGCCCAAAGCAGAAAGTTACCTTGCATGGCTGACTGCGGGGGGATCGGCAAGGAAAGGGAAGGGAAGGCAGCCTCGCTGGAGTCGGCTGCAGCAGGTGTGCGGGGAGACGGTGCCCCAGCAAAACACTGGAGTGCTCGCCCAGAAACAAAAGCAGTCGCATCATAAACCCGGGGCTGACATCAGCGCGGGAGTAGCGTTTCCGACAGAGGTTCAGGTTTCATCACACGGGGCCGGAGCCTGGGCTCTTGCCGCTCAAGGTACTCTGCATGTGCACAGGAGGCACACGTGGTCCTGGCCCCGGCAACGGGGCAGAGAACGCGTTTCTGGCCACGCCGAGAGCAGAGGAAGCCAGCGAGCAGAGCGGGCAAACCACCCTCCTGCGGGCCCTAATTCTGCCGAAGCAAACTCCTCTCCGACTCGAGCGGGGACGATGCGCTGCTTGAACTGACCGATCTGTGTTGAGCCTGATCCCTGAAACCCGCCAGGCAATGCCGGGGCTCCTGCTTGGGACCGTGGCTCTGCACCTCTGCAGTCAGAGCTCACACCCCAAAGCCAGAATTGTCCCATTCGCTTCACCGGCTGCTGCAAAGTACATCTTGCCCACCTAAGCCCCCCGATGTCTGTCGGGGCCTCCAAGGGAGAGTCCCACGTGCAAGGTTTCTGCTCCGTGGGACACGCTCATCTTGCTGCGGCTGACGGGACTGTCTGGGTCGGCAAGCCCGCTTCCTGTGGCCAGGCTTGCTTGGACCACATTGCACGCTCCTCTTTAATAAAGGCTGCAATAATCCCACCTGGCCCAGTGCTCCCTGAAGGGACCCTCAGAGCCACATCCCTTGGTACCACGGTGTTTCCTGAGTGGGCGGCAGCCGCTCTTGATGCAGGTGGGGTTTTTTTGGGTGGATTTCTATGCACCGAGTGCTGGCACGGACGGCCACATGCTCGCCCTTCCCTCCAGGACCAAGGCGCGGGTAAGGGGGCACCTCTCTGTGCAGCTCTCGAAGGAGGAATGGCTTCTCCATCCCACCAAAGACCACACACACAAATTCTGCGGGTCCAGTTGTGCATCATCTCCCCAACGGTTACATTGCTTCCGGCACACCGAGCCACTCGCCCTCGCGGTACCCCTGCGCAGCAGGGCAGTCCGTCACCTCCAGGCTGCCACGGCTCACGCCGGTGACACGAGGCAGCGAGTCTGGGGCAGAGCCCGGCTCTGGATGCATCACAGACCCGGCCCTGCCAGAGTCCTCCCTCCCCACCCGTTTCCTCCCTTGCTCCATGTTTCTCTTGTGAATGCACCCAGGCCTAAACCCCGACGGTCCCCAGAGGCACCCTGCTTTGCACGGAGAAGCGGGGCAAGCAAGGAGGGGTGCGGAAGTGTAGAATTAGGCTCCTCTGGCCGCAGCGAGACCAGACATCCCTCCGCCTTATCCAGCTGCTAAAGCGGGGCAAGCTTCACACCAGCGAGGCATGCTGGGAACAAGCGCAGAAGTTAAATTCACACCCTACCTTACTCCAGGTTAACTTTCAAGTGCCGACAAGACCAGAGCATTTCCACCCAGGACACTCCCCTGCTCTTCCCTCTCCCAGAGCGCCGCGTGTAAAAGCCCTGGCGCAGCGCAATGGCTTGTGACCCCCTGGGAGGAATTTCTTGGCTCCGGCCTGTTGCAATCAGACCCTCGAGTTACCATGCATTTTGCACTTCATGCAATTTCTTTTGTTTCCTCGGAAGAGCCCAAAAATCCAGCCAGGCTCCTCCCCTGCCAAGCAGCAGGCTCCCAGGCGGAGTTAACACATGCATCCTGCCCCCGCCAGAAGGGCAGGGCCCACAGCAACTGAACCAGGACAGAAACAGCTTTGCTCGTAGCGCACCCAGTACCCAGGAGGGAAATCCTCCTCGGGAGCCTGGCTCCTACCCCATGGAGGCTGCTCTGAAGCGGCAGGAAGAGGGGAGACCCGTAACCCGGTGCTCTTCTGCGAAGAGCTACCAATTGTTTTTGCAATTTGCAATCTGCATTTTGCATTTTTTTTAAACCCTCAGGGAGACCTCAGGAGCCAGGGCTCTGCCTGGAAAGGATTTTCATGACCGCAGCTAAAACCCACAGAAAGCAGGGGGCTAGGATGGAAACAGGTCGTTCCCGGGCTCCGCTCTGAACAGCTGGGACTATTTCCCCGGTTAAGTCAATTATTATTACTCAAGCCCACGCTGGCTCTCAAAGGGGCTCCGAGGAGATGCTGACTAGTCGCTCTTCTCCCCGGGCTACGAGCGGAGCCGTTTTCGGGGAGCTCTAGCAGCCCGGGGGAAACAAACCCCAACCAGCAAAGCCGTATTTACATGTCAGGGTAGATGGATGGGCTCTCTCACGCCCTTACAGCTGCCATATTTTAGGGGCCACATCTGTGCACGGGATGCGCCAGCTCTGTAAAACATCCGCGGCAGCTGGAAGGGATTCTTGTGCCCACAAGATTTCAACCAAACAAAAAAGGGGATCTTGGGCTCGGTTTACTTAAAAAAAACAAACCCCAAGAGCCGCTTCTGCTAGTGGACAATGCTTATGCAACCCTCCCAGCCGGAGCTATCGAATGGCACGGATCTAATTCCTCAAATCCGTACACGATCTGTTAGCTACGGCCAGCCTTGTGTTTCAGGGGACGCTGTTGCTGTCGCTGCTAGCGATCCTGCAAACCCCTTCCCCTCGCAGAGCTCCCACGGCGGACCGCGCTGCCGACTTCAAATAGTTCGTGACAAGCAGAAGTTTCTCCTCTCGCAACCGGGAGCTCGAGCGTGCGGGGAAGAGGTAGGGCGGGGAAGGCTGGACCCAGCCCCGGCTGCCTCCCTTTCTAACCTTCACGCTCCTCGTTAAGCGGACGGAGCGACCGGAGTACGTGCCGGCCCGCGGGACAGTCTGGATTAGAAACGGGAGATGAACCTGGCTCGGGTTCCCGGGGACACTCTTGGTCCGGGCAAAGGGTTAGGTGGCGACAGCGCTCTTCCCCGCTAGCCGAGGTCTCGGGGCAGGCAGGAGCCTCCAGCGTTAACGAGTTAATTCGCGGTGACTCTCCGGAGAGGATGGTTTGGAGAAGGGAGTGCTCAGCTCGGGGAATGCTCAAGCAGCCGCGACCGAGCTGTGGTTAAAACAAGACACCAATGACTCTATTCAGCCCAGAAACCTCAGACAGTTTCCATTTTCTCAATAACAAAGCATTTTTGTGCGGTGAGGTAAGAGGCCTCCATCTGCCAGGTCTAACTCTCCGCTAGGATTTCTTAAGAGAGCCGTTGAATGAGCGCGGGCCGTTCGTGCCAGAGAGGGCGTGCAAAAGGCAGGCGGGAACAAAGGGACAAAGGGAAAGCCTTCTGGGGCAAAGTCACACGCGTCCCCTTTGCAGCCTGCCTCGGGCCGCTCTTACCAGGGGCTCCCGTCGCTGCAGAGGAGGAAAATCCACCCATGGAGGAAAGACTGGGCCTTTCGAATAGGAAGGGGCAGGACCAGGCAGGAAAATGGAGCCGAAAACCCCAGGTTGATTTTATACATGCAGAGGTTCACGCGGCACACGGGCTCCGCAGCCCGCCCGCATCGCCCCGCGTGGCAGAGCGTGCACGGCCCACGAGGAGACGCTGGGGCCTCATGGACGGCACGGCACGGCTTACGGGACTCGCTGCCCGGGGTCAGACACTTCCCTCGTAGCTCGGCAGTGCAACACGCTGAGCCGGGCAAGGCTGCAGGCCACGGAGCCCCCAGACGAGGCACGCTCGTCCCAGCAGAGCTGGGCCATCCAGCGCCCGGCTCATTGCATGCCCAGCTGCTCCACGGAGACAAACCATCTCCAACCTCCCCGTGGGCAATTCTGGCCTCGGTGTTTCCACCATTGCTTGCTGACCAGCTCCCACACAACCTCCCCACTGTCCTTTACCTGGGAGCTGTTGGAATAACTGCAAAAAAGATGCAGCAGAAGGTTGCTGCTCTTCTACCCCCTCAGCCCTGACCTCAGAGCCCACAAGCCAGCAGCCTCCCACACCCCTGATGCTGGCCTTTTGGAAACCTTCCTTGCTCTGGCCCCAAGGCCTGGTGCATGTGCTCTGCAGCTAGGAGCCCGGAAAGGGTGAGGACCTCAGCAATCCCACAATCTCTCACTGGGTTTTTGAGGGTCCTTCCAACACCCTTCCCAGCAAACGGGAATTTAGCTAAACCAGCCAGGCCCTCGCCCCCTGCCCATGCCTCGTGGAAACAGTGGACGTTGCCTGTGCACAGAAGCCACGAACCAATGCAGGAGGAGGACCTTGCCTCCTGAGCCCACGTCTCCTTCAGGGGCAGGAACAGGGAAAACGTCTGCAAAGGGAGGACAGGAGCAAGTCAGACGCACGAGCCAGGAGCGACATGGGAAGTGCTTGGCCACTCGAACCTGCCGGTACCCTCAGGCAGGCTGTGTCCTTCCCCAGAGCCACAGGGAAGGATGGTGCTGGATGCTGGGGACGTGCTGTGCTCAGCTGGCAGAGCACGGCGCTGCATGCTGGGCTCTCCTGGGAGCTTTGCCTCTCTGCTGTCCCCTGCGCTTGTGCACATTAGTGTTGTGGTCCCCTGCGCCGACCCCCACAGACGTCCTCCCTGCACTCATCACTCGTGCCACGTTCAATCTCATCAGCCCCCAGGGGCCAAAAGATGGTTTGGGAGGGCGCACCAAGAGGAACAGCAATCACTACTGGCTTTTTGGGGTGCAGGAGGAGGGGGCTCTACCTGCTCCCAGATTGCAGAGCGCAGCCAGCGGCATCCAAAACTCTCTGCCCTAAGACTTCCCGTCCAAGGTCGACGAAATCCCAGCCTCCCCTGCCGTGAGGTCAGTCCTTCACCTGCCAAGCCTCAAGTTACATCAGCCCGCAAGACTCGGGAGACGACACTGCTGCACAAACACCGCAGAGCGAGGTGGGTGGTCTTCAATTAGCATCATGCCAGACTGCGGCCGCTGGAGAAGCGACACGAGATGGGCAAAGCACTAAGCAGCTTAACGGGGAAGGATGGGTGCTGGGCTCACGCGCTGGCTAAGAAGCAGGTTGGCGAGTCCTAGGCCCTGAACCCAAACCCCCACAGCACACCAGTGTGCATCTATCTCCGCACAGGAATTCACCCTTCGCCACATCCCCTTTCCATTAGTCTCCTCTTTCCCAAGCTCTTCACCCTGACTTGAACTGCTCCGAGAAGCCCGCAGCACGCCAGCCGTGGACAATCAGCTCCTGCAAAGGTGTGCTTACAAAACCAGACTGCAAGACATTCACTTGTACTGATACAAGAGCCAGCCTGAGGGTGCAATAGTAACCACACCATCCTCGGGCTTAATCCAGGAGGCACCACTGACTTCCTCCGATCTTGCAAAAGCCACATCTAACCCCTCCAGCTCCATTTCCCCATCAGCATGATGGGGAGGCCTCCCCTCCCCATGGCAGCACTGGCAGGACGAACGCAGAAAGTTGTGAGTTTTGAACAAGAACCAAATTCTTTTATGCACCTTCATTTCTCCTTGCTGCTGTCCGCGTGGGGTGAACACAAGCACGCACATGCACACAAGCTGGGGCTCAGGGGGGCATAAGCCCCACGCTGGGCCTGTGCACAGGGGAATTTCATCTTACGCGCTAGCAAGAGGGCCAAGGATCCATGCAAAAACACTGAGCAAATGACTAACTTGGAGGAGACACAAGTTGTTCGACTTGTTCTCCCATTTCAGCAGGCTCCAAAAGTCCCCTTTACCATGCCATTGTGAGCAGTCCAGGGCTCAGACACGCGTGATGCTCCCAGAGGCACCAGCGAGCCCATGCCCAAAGGAGCAGACAGACTAGGGGCTGCTCTAAATCCCACTGAAGTTAGTGGGAACCCTCCTGTGACAGCTGAATTAGGATCTGTGTTAAAGGCTTTGAGTGAAGCCAACGCTACCAGAGCGTGGGGTGGGGGCAGGGGAGAATCTGGGTCCAAGGACTCTGCTCCCTTCGGGGAAGGATTTCTTAGCCTGCGCCGATTTTGGAAGCGCCTGGGGAGAGGCAGCGAGCTGGAAGGGGCTTTGAGGAGGGGAAGGCTGCATGATGCACAGGTGGGGGCGGTGGTCCAGGCATACGCTGGAGCCTGCCAATCTATTTTTCATCATGGCATATAACGGGCTTTAAAAAGCAACATGAGGACACTGGCAGGAAGAGGCAGCAGCTGGCTGCGACCGACGGCCTGGGACTGGGGCAAGTCAGAACATTTGGGACCCATCTGAGTTCCTTCTCTGGTGAATGGTGCTGCCGAGCTCGCTCCGCCTTGTGACAGGGGACTGATCGCGCCAGCAAGAGGAACTACCAGGAGATTAGGAAACCTTTCCAGAGAGGCTATTTTGGTGGCAATATTTTTAGTCTGGGACACGTGGTTGCTGCATCCGCAGGGACGACGGCAGAGGTCTCTGACCACAGACCGCTCCAAAGCCTTTCTGCGTGACTGCTTGCAAGCCTCCCACCCCCAAGCCCAGACAGCCACTGCAGTGCCCAAAATCAGGAGCTGTGTGCGGTTTCTGCCTGAGAGTGTCACGACATGCACAATGCACCAAGCAGCAATCAGTGGCTCCACAAAGCAGAGGCTTTTTGACCCAGAAGGACCCAAACCGTACATGCTCTGATACCATGGACATAAGAACCGACGACCAACACGCAAAGCAAAGGAGCAAGGAGGGGTTCAACCAGCTCCTCTGCATCCACATGCAACCCAACCGCAGCGACGCTCCCAGCAGGTGGGAGAGACAC